CTCAGCAGTGTATTTCTTCAGTCTGCCTGTTCTGCTCCCCGGTCTGGCTCTGGTGAATTCTCTCACTCTCCCGTGCTTCTGACTGTACCCAGTGCGTGTATAAATAAATAAATAAATCTTTAAAAAAAAAAAAAAACTGCATGGTACTGGAACAAGAACAGACACACAATGGAATCAAATAGAAAACCCACATATAAACCCACAGATTTATGAACAAGTAATCTTTAACAAAGGAGCAAAGAATATGCAATGGAACAAAGAAATTCTTCAATAATGGTGCTGAGAAAACTGGGTTGCTGCATGCAAAAAGTGAAGCTTGACTACTACCTCACACTGTTAGGGAGAAAGGATATCCTGTACAAACTCCATACAGGCTTTGTAGATGCCAACCCGACTCCATCAATACACTGGGAACTACAAATCCCATGATCCCCAAAGGGAGATTGTAAGGACCTAAGGGAGGAATTAAGCAGCCATTTTCTGGCACTTGTGAATATAACCAGCAATGTTAGTGGGGTCTCACTCACTTGGCTCGTGCTCTTGGCCAGGTAGCATTTGGTCTCTGCAGGTCATTTGGGATTCCAGGTAGGCAGAATGGGTAGCACACATTTAAGAATTTATCTCCCTCTTTTCTCCCTGAGTTGTACATTTCCTCATTTCCCCTTCCCTTGTAAATAAACCTTTTGTTAACCTTTTGTGTGTTCCTGCAGTTTAAGTCCCCTTTAAGCGCATGGGTGAGGACCCACAGTCAGGCAATCCGTTTTATATCAGGGTTGCCCTGTAACAACACTGTGCACAAAAACTAACTCAAAATGGATCAAAGAATTAGAGATAAGACCTGAAACCATAAAATATATACAGAAGAAAAAATAGCAAAACACTGCATGACACACACCTCAATAACATCTTTAAAGGCACACCACCCAAAGCAAAGATAGTGAAGGATAGGATAATCAACTGGGACTACATCAAATTAAAGAGCTTCTGCATCTGCACAGCAAAAAGAGACATTAACCAAAGTACAGAGAAATACACTGATTGGGAGAAAATTTTTGCACACAATATTAATGATAAGGGACTGATCACAAAGATCTACAAAGAGCTGACAAAACTCAACAAAAACAAAGTAAACATATGAAAAAGTGTTCAACATCCCTCATAATCAGGGAAATGCAAATCAAAACCACAATTAGATACCATCTTACACCAATGAGAATGGCACATATCAAAAAAACTAGCAACAACAAATGTTGGTGAGGATGTGGAAAAAAAGGAACTCTCCTGCACTGCTAGTGGGAACGCAAAGTGGTCCAACCACTATGGAAGGCTGTATGGAGGTTCCTCAATCTGCTAAAAATGGAGCTACCATATGATCCAGCAATTCCACTTCTAGGTATCCACCCAAAGAACACAAAAACATTAATTCAAAAGATACCTGCATGCCTACGTTTATTGCAGCACAATTTACAATAGGTAAGCTATGGAAACAACCAAGTGCCCAAAATAGATGACTGGATTAAAGAAGATGTGAGATATATATATATATATATATATATATATATACACACACACACACACACACACACACATACACACACACATACACACACAGTGGACTATTACTCAGCAGTCAAAAAAGATGAACTCATGCCATTCACAGCAAAAGGGATGGAGCTAGAAGGTATTATGCTCAGTGAAATAAGCTGGAAAGAAAAAGAAAAATACCAGATGGTTACACTTGTAGGAGGAATGTATGGGATCCAAAGAAGGGATCAGGGGGAAAAAAACAATTATAACAATGTAAAAATCAAAATCAATCAAAATAAACCAGAGACTTTCTGCAAGGGGAGGAGGAGGGAGTTGTATCAAAACAGGGGTGGGAAGAGCACAAGGACTATGGCGATGGTACCCGGGTGAATTGGTGGTGGGAATTTCACAGGAACTATACCCCAGGGGACAAAGCATACATTGTATAAAAATGAATAATGATGTAAAAAATATATAAAATTTTAAAAAAGAACTATTCCCGGCCGCAAGTCAATACTTTGGAAGACTGTGAGTCCTACTCAAGATAAGTTCATCAGTTTGGATTTAGAGAAAACATTAGCTCAAGATAAGGTAGAAAGGTTAAATCTTTGGAAATCAGGTGAGTTCATAGAAAAGCACTAAAAAGTGAATTTCTCAGACTTTAATCTGGTCTCTTAGGAACATAGAAGCAACAGAAATAATTTCCTCTGTGTTCACACTGGTGTCCCACAGGGAAATTACGTGTTCATCAGTGGGATAACAATGGAAACAGAAACTAATGAGTAGACACTGGAGCTATAAATATCTCCTTGCTGCTGTCCCTTGGCCTATGCAATTTGAGATGAACAGAGCATGGTTGTTGCTTTTGGAATCATAGGTTTAACTCAGGGACCAATGCTTCACGGCTTCCTGATGTCCTCCCTGGGAATAGAGCCTCAGTCTCCATTACCAACCATCCAGGGAGGAAGTCAAACATCTACACTGAGACTTTCCTCTCAGAGACCCCAGGTGAGTCTGAACCCACAGTAGATACTTCCAGAAAGGTTCAGAGAGAATGGAAGTGACAGGTCTTACCAAAGGTCACTTTAGTGCCACTATCTAGAGCTGAGAAATTGTCAGGTTTATTTCTAGGTAGATAAACTACTGTATTTAATATGTTAGAAAACAGAGGTGACTCAGGGAGTCAGAAATACATCATTACCATTAAATGATGAGAGGAAAAACTGGAGTTGGATGAGAATAAAAAAGAACTGAGAAACTTAAAGTAGTTCCAGTAAGATTAGAATGTATCGGTTTTGCAGTTAGGAGGAGTGGGAAAATAAAGTGTTAGGCGTGGGGCCTATGCAGTGAACGGAGAGCTTTTTAAAAAATATTTATCATGGGATATATTTGAGCATGTGTGTGTTTATTAGAAATCCCATGCAAAAGAGGTAACTATTACTTTGCCACAGTAGCTTTTGGGATATATATTACAGTATCATCTTGCATGTCTCATATTTATATGAAAAGCAACTGCAATTAAAATGCAAGAAACATGCTAATGAGCTTTCCTGTACAATTATTTCAGTACACATGGGTGGGGAAGCAGTGGAGACAGTTGAGAGGCAGAGGAAACATCACCTCATCACCAGTGAGACCATTCACGTAAGAACAGGGAGTAACTAGGGCAGAGGAAGCTTTCTACAGATACTGACTGAATCTATTGACCACCTAGAGAGAGGGATCACCTATTCCACTGTTCCAGTGATGATATTAACATTGACTTTGGTTTGTTTGGTTCTCCAGGGACAAACACCTAAATTGTGATAGAACTGATACTCAAACCTTGGTTTTCTGATTCTGTAAGTATTGCATTAATATCATTTAGATAGTCTTTATCATCTCATCTTTTAAAATCCCCACATCTGTTTATGTGTATGTGTTCAATTGTAAAATGAGGGTCTATTCCCTTTGCTCATTTATCTCATGGGATGTCAATCAGCAGGTGTCTTCACACTGCAAGATATCATCCTTCCTCATTTGGATCAGGTGCATGTTACTGTGTTATTAGTTATTCTGGGCATCAAGGGGATATAACTGGGGTTGTGATGCTTCCAGAACCAAGAAAGTCTTCTCATCACAATTTCTCAGGGACCCCCTGAGCTCATTATATCATTATTCTCTCTGTCTATATCTTTCCCTTCTCCATTTTTTAACTACTTTTTGTTTCCTCAAATTCATGTTACAAAATGTGAATAAATATTCATTTGTAGAACAGCCTCAAAGACATGTTTCCACATCCCTGAGAAGCTTGCCAAATGGAATTTGAGACTATTTCTATATTCTTGGAGAAAAATTGATGTCAGTGGTTTCCCTTATCTCATTTATTTCCAAATTATTACAGCTGTGTAAAGAAGAGATTGGTAATGACATGGCCCTAAGGGTCCATATTACATGTTTGTGTGTTACTCTGTGTTGGGTGTATGTACATTTTATGAGTCATAAGTATTTCTGAGGGTAGAGGTATCTAACCCATATACATCAAAACATGTCCCTTAATTCCCTTAATTGGGATGTTGTCAGCCAATGGAAACTAGGGGACGTTTTCTACTCTCAGGATTTCTGGAAAACGATATAAGTACAAGGAACAAGATGTGAAAGAGGTGCTTCCTGTGTCTTCAAGTCTCAGCAGCAGCAGCAGGGACATCACCTTGTTACTCTACACTCTCTGACGTCATCGGTCATCATTCCCTCTTGCTCATCCCCTCAACACAGAACCTTCCATTGAAGCCTTGACTTTTAACACAACAGTTTTTCCAGAGCCATTACCCTGGCCAGGCTTTACATTCTGACCCTCAGTACACATTCCCTGAGAAAACTTATGTTTCCCACCTAATCTTACCGCAGGTCTTCATTATAATGTTTGCCAGTCTACAAAAATGAAATATAATACCCAGTAAAATATAACACCCCCATCTACTCTCTCTTTAGACATGACTGATTTGTCTGCTTGGCACCTGGTAACATCTGATAATTTATCTGATTTTTATATTTGCTTATATTCCTTCACCATCAGTGAATCTTAGAGACTTTTGTTCCTCAGCACTGTACATCCTGTCTCAAATCCAGTCATTACTCGATTTATATTCCCCAAATGCAATACAGAATTGCTCACTGAAAGTGTAGCCTTTCTACCTGGGGAAAGGCTGGGAGAGGGACAGGAATTCCTGTTTCCAGATGGCACCGGGAGGGCTTGAAGGGATCAGGTAATTAAAATTTATGGATCTTGATTATTGAATGCAAAATAAAAATCACAGCATTTCCAATATGCTTGTGAGAGTCATTTCTGACATTGCCCATGTTACTTTCTGTTTTCTGGCAGTCACTTCCACTACATGGAACCAGGGAATGACACGCAAATTTCAGAATTTTTCCTGCTAGGATTATCAAAGGAACCAAAGTTACAGCCTGTCATATTTGGACTTTTTCTCTCCATGTACCTCATCACTGTGTTGGGAAACCTGCTCATCATTGTGGCCGTCATCTCAGACCCCAACCTCCACACCCCCATGTACTTCTTCCTCTCCAACCTGTCCTTTGTGGACATCTGTTTCACCTCCACCACCATCCCCAAGATGCTGGTCAACATTCAGACACAGAGAAAAGCCATAACCTATGAAGGATGCATCACCCAAGTGTATTTTTTCATTCTCTTTGGATTATTGGACATCTTTCTCCTGACCGTGATGGCCTACGACCGCTATGTGGCCATCTGCCACCCCCTGCACTACACGGTCATCATGCATCCCCACCTGTGTGGCCTCTTGGTGCTGGTGTCCTGGATCATCAGTGCCCTGGATTCCTTGTTACAAAGCTTAATGGTGTCACGACTGTCCTTTTGTGGCATCTTGGAAATCCCCCACTTTTTCTGTGAACTCAATCAGATGATTCAACTTGCCTGTTCTGACACATTTGCTGATAACGTGGTGGTTTATTTTATATCAGTTCTGGTTGGTAGTGGTCCCCTCACTGGGATCCTTCACTCTTATTTTAAAATAGTTTCTTCCATTCGTGGGATCTCATCAACTCAAGGGAAGTATAAGGCATTTTCCACCTGTGTGTCTCACCTCTCAGTTGTCTCCTTGTTTTATTCCACAGTTCTAGGAGTGTACCTTAGTACTGCTGCTTCCCACGGCTCACACTCAAGTGCAATAGCCTCGGTGATGTACACTGTGGTCACACCCATGGTGAACCCCTTCATGTACAGTCTGAGGAACAATGATATAAAGAAGGCCCTGAAAACATTCTTTGAGAGGAAGCCACAAAAATACTAATTGTCTGAAGTGCCCTTAATTCTGAGGTCAAATCCTCAGAGCGAGAAATTGTGATTATTTGATCAGCATATGAAAATACACTTTGCTCTTTAATTTCTTTCCTGTAGTTTCTATTTCTTTGATCTCCACTCCTCTATTAGTATATACAATCCACTTTAAGATTTCTGCTCCCTTTTTGTTTCACTAAAAGTATCACTATGCATTGAACTACTTCTTTTTTTTTTAATTTATGACACTTTTTTTCTATTATTTATTTATTTATTTATTTATTTATACAAGCACTGGGTACAGTCAGAAGCGCGGGAGGGTGAGAGAATTCACCAGAGCCAGAGCGGGGAGCAGAGCAGGCAGAAGGACCGAAGTACACTGCTGAGGGGAGCAGCGGGAGGCAGGAGAGGTCTGCGCGCCATGTGGGACCCTCCTCCGGTGGCCGGGGACCAGCCGGGGACCGGCACTGCAGAGGCAGCGGGCAGCTTCGCAACCCAGCGCTCAACCGCTGCGCCACCGGGGAGGTCCTGCATTGAACTACTTCAATGGGAAAAACAAGCTACACTTGATGACTAAGGTGATTTATATGATGTTAGACCAGAGGAAAATCTGAAACCACAGTTTTTCATTTTGTGTTCATCACTCCTTTATTTCACTATATAATGGCTCTTCCGGGAAATGTAGATTTTAACATAGTGTGTCTTACAGCTGGTTACTGGGTTTATTCTCCAAATAAGGATCCTGTATTCTTTCAGGGTGGTGTTGAAGAAGTTTACCTTAATCACCGACAAAATAATTATCAAATGCATTTCACCAAGAGAATTCTTCGTGGAAAAATATATTTTAATTAACCCAGAATGACCTTTGAACCACGGATGGCATTTAATATGGTGAAGCAATATTTAAGGCATACATTGTGTTACTACACAGAATATTTCTCAAGCTGTACATATACTCATCAGAAGAGAGAATTGGTATCCATGTATAAGAGGTTTATATATATGGATGAAGGATTGATTGGGTTTTTTTTTTTGAAATGTCTTCATTTTTTAGCTTGAAAACTTCCAGTTCTGCCTATTATGATTCCATTCTTTAATCTTTCCCCCTTCTAAATTCTGTCCAACTAAGAAAGTGACAATGAATGATCATTGATCATCATCATCTATTATATATCTGTGTTACGTATGCTAGGGATCTATTCACCTTACATGATCAGAAGGAAAGGCTTGAATTCCTGTCCTGTCACATAAATCAGTCCTCCCAAATTCTTACACAAACCTGTATGTCCTTTCAACTCTCCTGATTACCTGCAAATGAACCCCAGTTTGAGTTTTTAAATACAGTTTTCTGAAGAAAACTGAAATAAATTAGCCGCTAATGCTATCTTTAAATACAGAAACAAAGGCCAAGAACAATCAGCAGCAGGGTGTTACAATTGCCCTCACTTCTGTTCACTTTCATTTTTGGATCAGTTGCTTATTGCTGGATACCAAGTCACTAAATGGAAATGAGTTACTAAAATGTTTTCATTACCAAAAGAGATTGCGTAGTAGGGAGTTGTTCTGAGCTCTGCTGTTCTCCTGAACTTCAAATCTCTACATTTTGTTTCTAAGGCTTATACAGAATGTATGTGACCTTGTGTGCTCTCATGAACCAACATTTAATAAGTGTACTCAATTTCTACTGGTCTACTCTATTTCTGTGTCCAATTTTATGTTCCATTTTGCAGGATGTGAATTGCTTTACTTTCTTCTGTGGTTCCTATAGCCACATATCCTGCTTTTCTTTCTTCCCACATAAAAGAGACACCTTCTCCCAACACTTGAATAGAGGCATGAATCAGCTGCCTCTATTCTAGGTCCTACCCTTGTTGATGCCTGCTAGCCGTTTTTCTTCTAAGTAATTTTTTGGAATGTAATTGCATACTATAAACTGTTTGGTGAATAAAAGGAACCATGCAAAATTTGCAATACATATTGTATGTTTCCCTTTGTGTATAATTCAAGATAGTGTGCAATATCTTTAATCACCTGCCAATGTAATTGTTCAAAGTTTACTCTTCCAGATGCTCAGATTTCTCAATTCTGAAGGTAATATGAGCCAGTGAACATAACTTCAGATGGACCTTGCAACTATAAATGAAACTTATGGACACATTTTTCTTAGTCCAATGACAATGTTTAAAGGTAAAGATTATCAATGTATGTGTTTATTATGTATACATTTTGTTTCAAATAAGTATATTTATACACATAGGTTCTCACTCATTTTTAATCTCATATTTTATAATGAAAGAAAACTTGAATGTTAGAGAATAGAAATAAAAATAATTAAAAGTTTGAATCAACATGAAATTAAAATACACAAAAATATAAATGATAGACATAAATTTAAAGGATCAAGTATATATCTTAATGCTTCAAAGGTGCCTAATCTTTTTTTTTTAGATTTTATTTATTTATTTATTTTAATTTTGTTTTTATATTCCCCATACAATTGCACCCCTCTTATTTTGACCCCAAACCCTCCTTTCCCCGCCTCCCCCATAGTGTGTCTCTGGTTCATATTTGTTTGTTGATTTTGATTTTTTCTTATAGTTATTCTTTTTCCTGGTCCCTTATTTAGGTTCTCTCGATTCCTGCTATGAGTGAGACCATCCGGTATTTTTCTTTTTCTTTCTGGCTTATTTCACTGAGCATGATCCCTTCCAGCTCCATCCATGTTGCTGCAAATTGCATGTGTTTATCTTTTTTGATTGCTGAGTAATCTTTTTCGATTGTGTATATGTCCCACATCTTCTTGATCCAGTCATCTATTTTTGGGCATTTGGGTTGTTTTGGGCATTTGGGTTCTGTGTCCTTTGGGTAAATACCTAGGAGTGGAATTGCTGGATCATGTGGAAGCTCTATCTTCAGTAGGTCGAGGAATCTCCACACAGCTTTCCATAGCGGTTGGACCAGTTTGCACTCCCACCAACAGTGCAGGAGAGTTCCTTTTTCTCCACAAACTCACCAACATTTGTTGTTGCTAGTTTTTTTAATATGTGCCATTCTCACTGGTGTGAGATGGTATCTCATGGTAGTTTTATTTGCATTTCCCTGATTACAAGTGATGTTGAACATTTTTTCATATGCCTGTTGGCCATTTGTATTTCCTCTTTGGAGAAGTTTCTTTTTAGCTCTTCTGCCCATTTTTTGACTGGATTAAGATGTCTAACTCTTAAACACATTTACGTGTATGCATGAATAGTGTCTACCAGCTGGAGAAGCTGAATACCTCCAAATTGATTATGAATTTCTTCTACTTAAGGTGGAATTCATAAACCATTTTTACCCAGGAGATAAGGTTATTAATGAATTGAGAAGATTAATCTTACTACCCAAATAAAATTTTATTGGACAAATGTATTCAATTCCTAATATTAAGTTGCCATATTGGTGATTTTTAATAAACACATTTATGCTCTAACAATTCTGAATGTCAGAACCTTGAAATGATTCTCACTGTGCTAACATCAAGATGTTTGGAGGGCTACCTTCCTTCTGAAGGTTAAAGGGGGGAACCTATTTACTTTTCTACTGAGAACGCACATAATAGGGCAAAAATAAATCTATATATTTCTTTTTTTTAAGATTTATTTATTATTTATTTATTTATACAAGCACTGGGTACAGTCAGAAGCGCGGGAGGGTGAGAGAATTCACCAGAGCCAGAGCGGGGAGCAGAGCAGGCAGAAGGACCGAAGTACACTGCTGAGGGGAGCAGCGGGAGGCAGGAGAGGTCTGCGCGCCATGTGGAACCCTCCTCCGGTGGCCGGGGAGCAGCCGGGGATTGAACCGGCACTGCAGAGGCTGCGGGCAGCTTCGCAACCTTCCGCTCAACCCCTGTGCCACCAGGGAGGCCCTATGTATTTCTTAAAATTAACAAAAATTTCAAAATGAGGTACTAATTGACAGCTCTTAATTTGTGACAAAGATATGGAATTCCTTTTTTTTTTTTTTTTTTTGGTCAAATGTATCATGAACACAAAATGTGCAGTGCCCCAAGCTGATGTCAAACAAACTTAGTTCTCCCCCATTAGAAAGGTAAAAATGCAATTTTCCAGAATATCAGTGACTATATCCACAAGTCAATATTTTGAAGTATCAAGCGTTCTAATTCAGATCTTGTTAAGTCTTTGACTTGGAGAATATTTTAAATCATGGCTGGGGTAAAAGGTTGGAAGGTGAGATTCTGGAACACAGCAGAGTTGATGAGGAGGAACCAATAAAAACTAGATTCCCTTTGTTCTCATCTGATCTATTGGGAACATACAATTTATAGGAAAACTTACCCTCCTGTCCAGACCATTGTCCCATGGAGAAATTATGTATTTAGATGTCATGGTAACACAGAAAAAATGTGCCTAATGAATACTCCTAAATAGCTTAAATACCTCCTTTGCAGCAGTACTGCAACCAATAAAACCTAGCCCTGGACAGGTCTTAGTGCTTGCTTTTGAAGTTCTAAACTTAGCTGGGGGACCAATGCATCATTCCTTCCTGCCATTTTGTGTGGTAGAGAGGTTCCCTCTCCTTCATTAACCATTCATGAGCAATTCAGTCAACCACAAGGCAATTTTCTTGACAGAGTTTCCAACCAGCTGAGTCCTAGATCCTAGTAAGGAGGTACTGCTGAAAAGTGAGAGTGAATCAACACCAAGAACATTAACCTGAGGTCACCTGACATACACCTGACATCCACCAGCCTAGCACAGAGACTAGAGGTCTCTGTGGTTGGTTTTAATAACTAATGAATGATTTACGAATGGTGCTTAAAAGAGAAGTGAGTATTGAATTCAGCAGTGCATGGGTGACTGTAGATAATTAAGTAGTGGAAGCCCAAGGAGAGGAAAGACTGGTGCCATAAAATGGTTCCATTCATAGTAGAACATATCCAAAGAGTTTTTTCAGTTAAAGGGAACAGGAAAATAGATACAGGAAGGATTCAGAAAAGTAAAGGTATTTCTGTTT